GCGGCATATCCGAGCGCCGCACTGTGCTCCTCCCGTGCCTCTCTGTGCCTCTGCCCCGAACAGCCCCTTCCCCTTCCCTACCTCGCAGGGGTGTTGGGAGGCCCTCTACAAATTAACATTTCTAAAGCACTTTGAAGTCCTCTGGTGGAAGGAAGCGGAGATGGGTGCGTGCTGGACCGAGTCATGGATTTGTCCTTTCCCGAGCCCCCGGCGGCCCCTGCGCAGCACTGTCCCTGGGCCCCTCGCCCCGGGGCCGCAGGACTCGGGTTTTTGTCGCCTGAGGAACTTTTTGCTCTTCCCCCAGCTCCCGACAGTGTAACAGTCCTCAAACTGAAATGTATATTTTTGCTAGAAGTACAAACCTCCAAGTGTTTTTAATAATATAAATAAATAGCGTCCACAGACTGACTTGACTTTAAATAAATCTGAACTAAATATTTAAGAACCTTTTAGCGCTCTCCCAGCTTTTCTTTGTGGGATTTCTCTTGGCGCGGGGCTGCTCTTGGGGTGGTTTTCCAGCAGAGAGGATGAGGAGCGCTGTGATCTCCCAGGTCTTCGTTGCCGATGTGGTTTCTCTCCCTGCGTTTGCCATCAAGACTAAAGGCAACGAGCTAGTCATAAGCAAGAGCTCATCCTTGGAGCCGAGTGCTTCCTCCCCAAAATCTTTGCCACAGCTCTTGCTTCAGGGATGAAGTTGGGCAATGACCTGAGCACCTCCTGGGTATGCCGATAGCCACTGTGTCCTGTGGGCTGGCAGGGGGGGGGCCGGGGGGCGGGGGGGACGGCGAAAGGGTAAAACCCTCCTTCCCCAGGGGCTGGGTTTGCATTTCAGATTGGCACCGAGCTGCCAGGCGTCTCCTCCGTTTGGGGGTCAGGAGAGGGTCTGTGTCCCTCAGGCCGGGGGAAGGAGAGCTTGGACACGGCCCACGGTGTGACCAACCAATAACCCCTACGATGGGAGAAGGCTCCAAGGGCCAGGTGCCCCATGAAGTCAGGAGCAGCGTAGGATGCGGCTCATTAATCCTTGCTGTTGCACAGACTGACTTTATCGCAGGGGCCGGAGGGTGACCTATGCGTTAGATAAGTACCCACAGCCGTTAGCTGGACGTGTCTCCCCAAGACTGGCCAGACCAGCATGGCAGAAGCGTATCTGTGGCTCAGCCCAACAGAGAGTATAAAACCTCAGCAACGAACAAAGGAACTTTGAAGGGAGCAATGGGCTTGAGGTGGCTTCACCCTGCGTCTCCCTTCCCGGCGCCTGGGGACGCCCAGCAGCGTGATGGTGAGCATGTTATAGGGGGCGGTAACGGCAATCACATTGGTGTTGTGATTGAACTAAGTGTACGCTTGAATTGTGATTTCAGTATATCGCTGAATCACTCTGCTAAGTCAAAAATCCCGTGTAACATCGAATATCTTCAAAATAAACTTTCGTATTTAACACTGCACTCTCCGTACGGGTGGAATATCTAAGAGAACCTGCTCAGAGGGTACTGCACTCTGACACACGGACAAGGAGAGCTGGGGCAAGCAAGCTCAGGGCAGCGGCTGGGTGCCCCCATCGCTCACCCACGCGAGCCGAGCCAGGGCTGTGCGTCTCCGTACCCTGCCCCTGCGCTCGGCCGCGTCTAAACACTCAGTAATTTGCAGGAAACGATTGCAAATCCTCCAGGCTTTTTTTTTTCTCTCCTGTTCGTTTCACTGTCCTCAAGGGAAGCTGTAACGTTGCCCACCGCGTTTCCCATGTCCCGTTTATTCTCCAGGTCCCACCACCGTGAAGGGCCCGGGGGCCTTGCCACCTCGGAGCAGAGCCGGAGGGGTTCCCCGAAGCCACGTGCCGTGTCCTCTCCTCCCTCCTGCTCGGTGGAGCGGGGCACGCCACCACGGCTGTCCCTCGTCCCCTTGGAAATAAAACACGGTCGGGCCACCCGGGCCAGGGGTCCTGGTGTGACCTGGCCCTGGTTTGCTTGGGGTTTCTGCGCGGGGCCAACTGGAACGTGCGCCGCAGGGGCAGGAGCGAGCAGCTGGGCTTGCAGGGAGCTGCTGGGGTGGGCTTGGCGGGGAGGTGCCGGCCAGGCTGCGAGCCAGGGGCGCTGCGGACGGT